AATCCTCATACATATCCATGATGATGCTGATATACTTGCGTGATATGTCTTTCCTAGTTAAGGCCCACCAAAGAACTTCTCGAGGTACCCTATCATATGCCTTTTCTAAGTCAATGAACACCAAATGCAGATCCTTATGAGCATCTCTATACTTCTCCATAAGTTGACGAAGAAGGTGAATAGCCTCAGTTATTGAGCGACCAGGCATAAAACCGAATTGATTCTCTGAAATCTTTACAGTCCTTCGAAGTCTTTGCTCAATCACTCGCTCCCAAAGTTTCATGGTGTGACTCATAAGCTTAATCCCTCGATAGTTGGCACATTCTTGTACATCACCTTTATTCTTAAATAAAGGGATAAGAGTACTCTTCCTCCAACTCGTTGGCATCTTGTTGTTTCTCCAAATCATGTTGAAGAAACTTGTTAACCACTCGACGCCTCTCTCTCCCAAACTTCTCCAAGCCTCGATCGGTATGCCATCTGGCCCCATTGCTCTTTTCCGTCCCATCTTCCTCAGAGCTTCTTTAACTTCCGTTGTTTGGATCCTTCTCACAAAATCACGGTTTACCATACAATCTGGTATGGACAAATCACCGATATCTTGCGTTTTGTTCCCGTTGAATAGTGTATCAAAGTATGACCTGCACCTCTCTTTTATCTCTCCGTCGTCCATTAATATCCTCTGATCAACATCCTTCACACACTTAACTTTTGCAATATCTTGAGTTCTGCGATCACGAAGACGAGCAAGTCTATAAATATCTAGTTCTCCTTCCTTAGAGTCCAACTTTTCATACAACTCCTTGTTCACTTTCCCTCGTGCTTCCCTTACGGCTTTCTTTGCTTGTCTTTTAGCCTCCTGTATGCTTCTATGTTCTCATCACTCCAATTTGTCCCTAACTTTTTGTAGCAATCTCTTTTGTTCCTTATGGCTTGTTTCACCTCATCATTCCACCAAGATGTGTCCTTTTTAGGTGGCCAACATCCTTTAGATTCTCCAGGTACCTCCTTTGCCACTTTGTTAATGGTCAACTCCATTGATAACCACACATCATCCACCTGTGTTTCATTATCAATACGCCATACATCTTCACCGACCATTTTGTGTGTAAAGCTTTGTTGAAGATCTCCCTCTAGCCTCCACCACTTTATCTTTGGCTCCACTTGGTTTTTAACTTGTCTTCCATGGTTCTTACCTCGAAAGTCAAGCACAAGCATCCTATGCTGAGTGACAACACTCTCACCTGGAATAACCTTACAATCAGTGTAGCTAGTTCTCCCAGTGGTCCGTACTAAGAAGTAGTCAATTTGGGTACTATTAGCTCCACTTTTATAGGTTACAAGGTGAGAGTCTATTTTCTTAAACCAAGTGTTCATTATAGCCAACTCATACGTCAAGGCAAAATCCAAAATGTTCTTTCCCGCCTCATTCCTAGTGCCAAAACCATGTCCGCCATGAATATTCTCAAAGCCATCACGACTCGAGCCCACATGCCCGTTGAGGTCACCTCCTATGATCAACTTCTCTCCCCTTGGCACTCGTCGCACCACGTCTTCAAGATCTTCCCAGAACTGTTGAGTTGTAGATGCATCCAATCCCACTTGTGGTGCATAGGCACTTACCACAGACACAATCTCACCTCTTATCACCAATTTAATGCTCATGATGCGATCGTTCTTCCTGAAGACTTCTACCACATCCTCAACATAGTCACGCGCCACAATAATGCCTACCCCATTTCTAGTCTTATCTCTCCCCGAATACCACAACTTAAAACCTCCGGGATTAATCTCGCGTGCTCTCTCTCCAACCCATTTAGTTTCTTGCACACACATAATGCTGATATTCCTTCTGCTCATAACCTCGACTACCTCGGAAGATTTCCCTGTAAGAGATCCAACATTCCATGTCCCAAAACGCAATCTAGCATTCCACCTTCTGTTCTTAGCCCTATCTCGGACCCCACAATGCCCATGCATATTTGACATCATCCCCGGGCAATGGGATGACGCGCCGCTTCTGGGCGGCGACCTAGCAACCTTAGCATTCTTATCACCACACCCAGGTCTATCAAGTGTAGCGCGCCCTTGCATATTTGACACCACCCCCAGGCGGAGGGATGACGCGTCACTTACGGGTGACGACCTAGCATTAGCGATTTTCATATTTCGATTCATGTCATGTGATGTGACTAGGTGATACTGTTGGCCGTCACACGCCTACCACAGCACCCTCCTCCTTTATCCTGGCTTGGGACAGGCATGATACCAAAAAAATGATATCATGGCGGAGTTAAACATTCCAATGTAAAAGTAAATAAATTTGAAGTTTAATTTTGATGCTGTTAATTCAGCCCTGTTTTTAAAAAAATAACTGAAAGATGTAAAAATGTATTTTAACCATAAGATATTAATTTTAGGACTTGAATTTAACCACTATGTTGAACATAAAATCTCCGGCCGACTTTTCAAAAAAAAAAAACTCCAGCAGATGAAACTTCATAATTTTTAATTTCTTGTAAGGTCATGAAAAATTAAAAATTTTGATATATATATTTTTTATAAAAAATGAAGTACAAATAAAAAAATAAAACACATTAAATAAATTTGGGATTTTTAATTATTTTAGGCCCACGCTTCTGTATTCTCATGTGGCTCAACTCTGGGTGAATAACCTAGCAAATTCCCACTTAATAATTTAAGTGTCATCTATCCACTTTCCCGTCCATCAAATACATGGGTTGGAGCTATATTTGACGGTGAAAACCTTAAATTTAGGTATTCACGGTCCCAATTGCAAGCAGCCTAAGAATTACCTATAGAGTTCTTGACTTCAAGTCTGCATATATTATAATATTATAATATTTTTATGGGGTTTTTCCAAAAATAATACCAAAACAAATCACTTTGACAAAAACAAGACAAATTTAAAAATGTTCCAAAAATGAGACTAAACTCCTACCGGTTGACAATTACCAAACGCACCAATGACCAATTGGACCAGTGACCAAAGTAATTGTGACCAATCCGACCGTGACCAATCTGATCATGACCAATCTGACCAATGACTAATTTGATCGTGGCCAATTCGATGAATGACTAATTCGACTGTGACCAATCCGATCGTGACCAACCCAAACGTGACCAACCTAGCCGTGACCAATCCGATTATGACCAACCCAGTCATGACCAATCCGACCAGTGACCAACCCAATTAGTGAACATGACCAATTTAATCATTGACCAATGTGGCCACCATTGCCCCTGACCAATACCATCCCCGACCACTGTCCATCCCGGTGACAACTAGCCTCCTCCCCTGCAGCAGTCCCCCTCTCCTGTAGCAGTCCCCTCCTCTGCCCCATGCCCCTCCCCTGCACCAGCCCCCCTCCCTTATACAACCCCCTCCCTGGGGAAGGCCTCAGCCCCCGTTCCCAAGCTTCATCACCTCTCCGATGGTCGGCCATCGAAATGCTCCAGACCTTGCAATGAAGAAGATGACTGATCTTCGCCGTTCCAGAAAAGAAACAAGGAGAAGATAATAGATCTACAGTTGCTCGACGACAGAGACGACGCAGTTGCTGAGCGACGTGGACGACAACTTGAAATGGGTGTCGGAAAAAAGTTGAGATGCGTTGGAGTAGGAGTATGCGCAGATGCGCTCCAGATGCGCGCTGCCGAAGAAGGAAGGAAACACGAGATCTGGTCCTATTTTTGTCCTTAAAAAGTGGTACTATTCTTGTCCGGTCAAAAGTCCATAGTCCTATTTTTGCCATTCTTTCTATTTGTATCCACCATATAAAAACATTGATAAATAGAATTTCCATTAAAATAATAGGGAGAAATAGTTTAGGCATAGTGTATGCAAGTTCCATCAATTTTGGGAGAATTCTTTGAAATATATACATGCTATCAAATCAATCTGACCTTAGTTTATATTCCCTCCGTTCTCTAATACTTGACTCTCTTTCCATTTTGGGATGTTCTCTATTAGTTGTCTCCCTTTCCACTTTTGGTAAGTTTTTTCAATAAATATACTCATTTATCCTCATTCTCTTTTCTACGTTTTCATTCTCTTTCCTACTTTTACCTTTACGCACAACTCACTACACCTTTTATCCTATCCCTATTAATTCTTTCTTAAATCTTGTACCAAAAGCTATACTCTCATCTAGTACGTATCAAACTCTCAACTCTCAAGTCCAATTACTCCGTTTTTGGTTAGTACTAGACTACTGAAAAGTGTCCCAATAATTCATTAATAGTCGCCTGCCGGTAGTTATGTAACAAGACTCCCATGTCGGTAGATACATAGAACTTTAAAATTCTCTCCACATGGGAAGTATTGAATTCACACAAATTAAGTGATCATTACTCAAGTGAGCTTAAACTCGAGTGTTCCCAAAATGGTTATTTGGTCTCACCTTAAAGGATAATGTGAAAGTTAGTTACGGTAGTGTTTAATAAATCACTTACGATTTCTACGAAAATTGTAATGAGAGTTAGAAAACCCACACAATCAATCAATTAAAAATGACTTGTTATGGAAAAAATGAGAATGAATCTGGACCGTTAGATTTGCTTTATGTGAAATTCAATGTGCATTAGATGAAGTTGTAATGTGTATTACGTGAAATTGAAATGTGCAACACAAATGGTACAATGTAGTGACATTATGTGAAGCTAAATTGTGCATTAGATAAATTTGAAATGTGCACTAGATGAAACTAAAATGTGCAGAATAAAAGGTACGATGTGATGTTATTTTTGTACCTTTTATTTTTCACATTTCAGTTTCATCTAATGCACATGTGAGTTTAAATTTTAATTCTGCACATTTCAATATCATCTAATGCACATTTCGGTTTCACTAAATGCACAATTCAGTTCCACATAATTCAATCCAGCGGTCCAGATTCGTTCTCATTTCTCTCCTAAGATCCGTTCTTACCGGAACCGCTCCCTATATATATATTTGGCGATCAAACTTCATATTCCTTCACCGCAATTTGCAAGTTTTGGCAGCTGCTATCTTACAACCCTCTCATTCAACTTCCAAATAAATCATATTCCACTCACTTTTCACTCCCTGCCAGGTACCCCTCATTTTTGTTATTAGAAAATTTGTTAATTATACTACTTTTGCGTATAGTTTTTTTGTTAGAACGGGTACAGGGTTTTACAATGAATAACAGCATAATAACACAAAAGAGCAAGAAAAAATAATTTCTCAAATAGGAGTGTAGTTGTATTATTTCCTATTTTGATAATTTTTGTATTGTTTAATTCTTTTAATAGAAGTAAATAAATTATATTTTAGGATGAAAAGGTCTTATTTAAGAATTCTCTCCTTGTTTAATTCTTGATGAATTTCTTAGGCCATCTCCAACAGTTAACACCATTTTTTACACTAAAATGATGTAAACATCACATTTCATTATTCTATTTAAGTATATAACTATCTTATATTTATACATTAGTCCCTCATTTAATATTTTGACATTTCACACATTATTTCACACATACAAACTAAAATACATCATTTTAATATGTATTTTCACGCATTTCACTAATTAAAACACAATAATCAATATTTCACAAATACAAGCTAAAACCACATAAAATTAAACATTACGCAATAATATTATATTTTTTTATCAAATTAATTGTTTTTATTGTTGTTGTATAAAGATGTTTTTACTTTGACTGTAATTTGTTTCAAATCAGATTGGATTAGACCAAACTTGGATAGTTATAGAAATACAAAGAAATCAGACCAGTCCACATCAATTCAGTCCAGACCAGATCAAATCAGACCGGACCAACAAATTTTAGTCCAAGTAAAACTTCCTAATTTGTTGTTTTGAAAATGGGTCAAAACTATAATAATCAAAACTTCGGGTCACATTTGAAAGAAAAAAAATTACAAAAAGAGAATGATGCTACAAATGGCGTACGCCATATATAGCGTAAAGCCTTCCCCCCCTCCCCCATTTTGGTGTAATGGTGTAAAGTTTAGTGTCATTGTTGGAGCAGTTTGTTGCCAAATACACCATTTTGGTATTGAAGATGGTGCTTGTTGGAGATGGCCTTAAACTTATACGGAGTACAACAACTAATATTAATCACTCATGATCGAGTCTTTGTTAATTCCCACACCCAAAAATTGGGAATTGATAAAGTGCTATATTAAGACATGAGCTACTTTTCCTATCAGACCTTTAAAGATGGAACCTCAGATCTTAACATGGTATCAGACACGACACAATTAAAATATGACAATGACGAAGTGATGAACAAATGAATGATGACACGATCCTGTCTAGTCGTGAGGAGGGGAAATCTTCCAAAATCCAACCCATAAGGGTGTGTTGGGGAGGAGTTAGGCTTTAGAGGGGAGGGAAGGTTGAGGAGGGATTATGACCCTCCTTTTCTTGTTTGGGGGTTTAAAAAATTGAAGAAGATTTTGGAAGGCTTTTGTAATCTGCTAAAACCCTTCAAGTACTTCATTTTTAATTATCCCTAATTTGAAGGTTTTTTTTTGAAGGATAACATATTAAATAATAATTTTATTTCAACTTAAAATGAATACAAATTCAACTATTTGAATTCAAATACAAATTCAACTATTTGAATTCAAATACAAATTCAACTATTTGAATTCAATATATATGTTAAGCAATTTAATTATAATTCTCGTAGTCTATATATCGCTTTTCAAATTTACAACTCCAAAAAAAAAAACAAGAGTTTAATTCACTTCCTCTCCCCTACCCTTTTCAGGGCTAACCTTCGCTCCCCCTTTTCCCAAACTTACCCTAAGAGAAATACTCCTTATTATGTCAACTTTAAACAATTAGTGTACATGAAGAATACTTCTTGAGTGCATCACTTCTATTGATTAAATAAATGTTTCATATCAGTAACACACAGAAAATTAAACTATAATGCTCTAAAAGTAAAGCAATCAATTAAAACAGAAAAACAATAGATTAAACTAGTACAACCTGAAAAACAGTAAAAGACTAGTCAAAAGGAGCAATAAAAACCAGTAAAAAATAATAACAAAGTAAATTGTGAGCATTATTAGTTAACCAGTAACAAAAAACAGAGTAATAAAAAAGCAACAAATTAATACAGGATTGGCTGATTTGACTTATTCTGCTGAAATTTATTTAGTTCTGTCTGAAGTGGCTGCATTGGCTGATTCTGCTCTTTTAAGAAAAAAATATTTTTAAAATATATTTTCTTAATAAATAAAGAAAAAATTATATGTAAAAATAGCCAAAATGGTCATCTACAGTAACTTCAACCAATACAGCCAGAAAAGTAGCTTCAACCTTACTTTTTCTGCTTATTACACGATTCAGCGTGCGAAAGCAAAAGTTACGTGTTTGGTAAAAAAGTTGGCTGATAAGCCTCATAAACCGAAAAACAGTGTTGCCAAACGGTCTCTTAGTTAATTAGTAAAAGAAAAATAAAAACTGGTAATAAACCAGTTAAACAAAAACCACATACTACCTCCGTCCCATTAGAAGGTTCTCGTCCACTATTCACGTGGTCAACTTAAATCATTTTTAATCTTTTACTTCATAAATCAAATTTTTATCAAATTTACATTTTTTTTATCAGGCTTTGTAGCGGCTTTAATGTAGTTTCTGAATATGTAAATTTTATTTACAAAAAATAATCAGAGTGTGAACAGGGATTAAGTTGTTTTATCGTCAGTCAAACATCGTAAACCGCTAACGGGAACCTTCTAGCGGGACGGAGGGAGTAGTAATTAGGAACACTTGTGAGACACAAAGTAAACAAAAAAAACATTAACTACCCATGATGACAGCAATAGTTAAATTAATTAATACCTGTGAGATGACTACTTTTAAAGTATATGTGATGACTAAACAAGAATTAGATATATAAAAACAGCAATACTAGTACTTTGTGGTTTGATGGCATCACCCTAACACTCACAAAGAGGAGGTCACAGGTTCGAGTCTCATCCCAGTTCAAGAATATTGACCTTAACATTGAACGGATACTATAGTAGGTTAGAAAGAATTGCCAAAAAAAACAGCAATACGTTTGTTAAAAATACAAATACTTTGTCAATATCAGTGAGAATTGGAGAAACCAAGATCATGAAGCACACTCATTTTTGAGATCAGTCTTGTTAACCATCAATTCCTTACAAGAAATTTCAGTTTTTATCTCAAGTCAAACGGCAACAAAACAAAAAAAATGTAAAAGATGCAATTTAACTATTTAAAGAAAAAAAATAAATGCAGACTGCAGACAAGCAATATACTTCCGTTTGTTGTAGTACTTGCCATGTTCCAGATACATTATGGCATAAGAGAAACTGTGAACCATTCTAAGAAAACTATGAAATCACACCGGAGAAATGAAATTATAACTTTGACATAATAAAATCCAATTATAGGCACAGTTAGTGGTTTTTTTAAATCTATTCTTACTTCATAATGTTTAAAAGATTAGGGAATGATAAAAAAACAATAAGCTAGCAGAACATATAAATGATTGAGCAGACAATAAGGTTAATTCTCTATAAGATCCTTACATAGGGAGTCTGAAGTAGATCCTTGTAATATAATTAAACTGCTGTAGTTGTTTATATGTTTATTTCTTTACCCATCTTTCTTACAACTACCATGTGATATGTCTTTGGTATAGGTTTCTAGCTTGTCGAAGACGGTTATGGATCATAATCTCACAAGTTTGCCTGACTACTACTCCATAAAGAGACTCGGATTGGAGAATCCGAGCGAGGGTGCGCTTTCACAACAACATCCTAACCACGCTCTTTCGATAGACTCTAACCGCGTCATCAACTACCTTAACAAGATACTACTAGAGGACGATACTGATGAGAATAATGATGAATTCATGTTCTCTGATCCTAATGCACTAAGAGCTGCAGAGCATTACTTTTATGAAGCCTTGGGTGAGAACCCCACCTTTGAAAGCAGTGTCGAAAGCACAGAAGGCACCTCCGGTTCTGATGTTAATCTTTATAGTTCTGCTCTAGGAGAGTTTAAATCTAATGGCACAAGTGACCTCTGGATCCAGTCTTCTTCATCAAATCACACTAACCAGGATGTTTTAAATGACTCTTTATATAGCTTTGGTAGTGCTAATTTGGTTCCAAATATACTTTTTGATGATCAAACTGCGCCCATTTTACAATTCCAGAGAAGTGTGGAGGAATCAAGAAGATTTTTTCCTGCCATTAATCCGATGGTCATCCATTTCGATGATAAATACTCATTGCACCCGGTGACAAGCGAGGAATTGACCAGTGGTAGTGCTGTGAGTGCAGAGAAGGAGGATCATTCAGCCGGTTCTTGTAGGAGAAGGAAGCATGATCGTCCAGTTGAAGAAAAAGAAGAGGAGGAAAGGAGCAGGAAGCAGAGTGCAGCTTGTAAAGAGGAAGTTGAGTTATCAGAGGTGTTTGATAAGGTTTTACTGTGTGCTGATGATAATGATGATCCTTCACCTGGAGCAGGAAAGCAACAACCGCGAGGGCGAAATGGTTACAAGAGCCGTTCGAATAAACGAGGGGACAGCTGTGGAATTGTTGATGTTGAGTCTCTTTTGATCAGCTGTGCAAAATGTGTAGCTGATGCTGATTACATGGCTGCAGAACAACAACTGAAGGAGATCAGGCAGTACTCATCCCCTACAGGTGATGCAAACCAAAGGCTGGCACATTCATTTGCTGACGGTCTTGAAGCACGGATGGCTGGAACTTGGCCGGAACTTTATCCTTCATTTCGCAACAAGACTGCAGTTTCCGAATTGCAGAAATCCCACATGTCATCAACTTTGCCATTTATGAGGATCGTAATCTTCTTTGCGAATAAAATGATTTACGAAGTAGCATCAAGAGGCGCATCATTACACGTAATAGACTTTGGCATTCTTCATGGTATTCAATGGCCCACTCTTATTCGAGATCTTTCACGAAGACGCGGTGGCCCTCCAAAACTTCGAATAACCGGGATTGAACTTCCCCAACCTGGTTTCCGTCCGTCGCAAATGTTAGAAGAGACTGGTTGTCGCTTAGCTAAATATTGTGAGTTTTTTAATGTGCCATTCGAATACAATGGCATAACAGCAACAAATTGGGAGGCAATTAAGATTGGTGACTTGAAGCTCCAAAAGGGTGAGGTGGTTGCTGTTAATTGTATTGATCGATTCAAACTCCTACTTGATGAGACAGTATGTGGTGCGGACAACCCGAGGGATGTTGTTCTAAAGTTAATCCGAGATATAAACCCTCACATTTTTGCGCATTCTGTTCTTAGTGCATCTCACAGCTCTCCTTTCTTTGTCAATCGGTTCCGGGAGGCTCTTTACTTCTGCTCTGCCCTCTTTGATATGTTTGAAGCTATTTTCCCTCGCCATGATAGTCAAAGGTTAAATTTCGAACAAGCATTTTTGGGTCCTGTAATAACAAATATTGTAGCATGTGAGGGCATGGAAAGGTTCGAGAGGCCTGAAACATACAAGCAGTGGCAATGTCGTAGTCTGAGGGCTGGGTTCAAGCCTCTACCTCCGAACCCCAAAGTTGTGAAGAAGTTGAGAGCTAAGGCGAGGGAAGCAGGTCACAGAGATTTTCTATTTGCTGAAGACGGCCACTGGGTTCTCCAAGGGTGGAAAGGCCGAATTCTTTCTGCTAGCTCTGTCTGGATACCTCACAAACCGTGATTTATTGATTATGTGGTAAACCATGTTTCTTTTGTTGGGATATGTCCTCAGAAAGTTGGGTGCACTGTAATGGAATTAATTTCATAGCAACATCCTTCTTCTTTGTTTTCCACGTAGAAATAAAAACAAAAAGGGAAAAGTGTCAAATTTGCTCTCTACTCTATACGGAAAGTCAATTATGCTCTCTTACTTGATTTTTCATCAATTAAGTTCTCCTACTTTGAAATTTTCATCAAAACCAACTTTTAGCAGGTAACCCGCTAGGTCAGTAGGTAATGGCGCACACGTGGCCTGACATGGCGCACATGTGGCCTAACACAACACATATGTGGCATCCACCTCATTTCCCCCTTTTTTCATTTTCTTTTCCTTTTCCCCCTTTCCCCCTTTCTCCTTCATCGTTACCTCTTTCCTTCCGACCTTCCCCCGGCGTACAACCACCAGGTCCACCAATCCACCAGACACCTCCTCTTCTCTTCCTCACCAAATCTGAAACAAAACTTGTCGATTCATAGCCTTTCTGTTTCTTTTCCTTCACCACCACGCCGGCCGGCACAAGTCCAGATCGGAATCCTATGGACGGCGGCAACAAGTCTTCCGGTCAGTATTCCTATGCGAGCCACAAGTCGAGACCCCAAGCCGGCATGCCAATCGGTTACAGGTTGCTCGTGCCATCCTCCAGGTCAACGACGATTCTCAATTCTGGCAAAGCTTCTCCGGCGATAGTGCAAGTCGAAGGAAGGAAACCGGAAAAGGTTCTGTGGAGGTAGCGAAGGTCGAAGGAAGAAAAGTGACAAAGCTTCTCCGCCGGACGCCGGACGAAGTTTGTCCTAACGGGTGACCTGTAGAAGAATTTTAGAGGAAGAAAAACAGGTCTGCAGAAGGAAGAGAGGGAGATCCGGGAAAGAGGAGGAAAGAAATAAAAAGGAGAAAGAAAAAAGAAAAAGAAAGGAAAAATAAAAATCGACGTGGCCCGCCACGTGTTGTTGTGTTAGGCCACGTTGGTGCCATGTCAGCAGGTAACCTGCTGACGGGGTGGGTTACCTGCTAAAAGTCGATTTTGACGAAAATTTTAAATTAGAAGAGCTTAATTGATGAAACTTAAAGTACGAAGGCATAATTGATTTTCCGTACAGAGTATGAGGGTCAATTTGACACTTTCCTAAAAAAACTATTTGTTGTGTAATAATATTGCATTTTTAGTTTAGTTTTATTGTGAAATGAAGAATATGAAGAGCAAATTTAACAGATCGATATATTAATAAAAGCTCTGAATATCTTCTTCTTAATCTCTGAATATTTTCTGAATGAATTTACAAAGAATTGAACTAACCCTATTTATACTAGCCAAGCTTAAGGATGAATCATCTAGGAATGATTATACACAATTTGTTGGTTGTATTGGATCTACCCACCTGTCTAACTATGATTACAAGGATATGAATTAGATGAGTAAGCTTATTACAGGGACCAGGAGTAGCTTGGTTAATGACAAGGATGAACAATTCACACTTGTTTTTCTCAGGAATTTACAACACTCCCCCTTGAATGTTCATCCTTGAATAATTAGTTTGTTATTGTGAAAACTTATTGTGAAAAATTAGTGTGAAAGTTAAGGGTAAAGATTACGACATATAATGTCGTTGTATTTGGATGTGCTGTCTCATTAAAAACCTTATCAGGAAAAACCCAGTGGGATAAAAACCTGATGAAGGAAAAAAGAGTGCAGTGCATTCAAATACTCCTCCTGAATTTAAAATAAATTATGAAGGCGGCGCATGCCGATTTTCTGTACAAGTTCTATGAACTTCTTCGGGGGTGATGACTTGGTGAAGAGATCAGCCGGATTTTCGCTGGATCTGATTTGTTGAATGTTGATCGTCCCTTCTTTCTCCAGATCATGAGTAGAGAAGAATTTTGGTGATATGTGTTTTGTTATGTCACCTTTGATGTAACCTTCTTTAATCTGAGCTATGCACGCAGTGTTGTCTTCGTAGATCACAGTCGGGTGAGAAGTAATAGGCTTCATACCGCATTCATTTTGGATGTGTTGAATCATAGACCGCAGCCACACACATTCTCTTCCGGTTTCATAAAATGCAATTAACTCCGAATGATTTGATGATGTAGCTGTCAATGTCTGCTTCATAGATCTTCATGAGATTGCGGTGTTACTATAAGTAAATACGTACCCGGTTTGTGATTTCGCCTTTTGAGGATCTGATAAGTATCCAGCGTCTGCATATCCGATTAAACAAGCTTTTGCATCTTTGTGGTAAAATAAGTCGAGATCAACTGTACCACGTAGATAACGGAATACGTGCTTGATCCCATTCCAATGACGTCTTGTTGGGCATGAAGTGTACCTAGCTAATAAATTTACAGAAAATGCAATATTTGGTCTAGTATTATTAGCTAAATACATTAAAGCTCCAATAGCACTCAGATATTGTACTTCGGGACCGAGTATTTCTTCGTCGTCTTCTCGGGGACGGAATGGATCATCGTGTATGTTGAGAGATCTAATCACCATTGGTGAAGTCAACGGATGAGCTTTGTCCATATAGAATCTCTTCAAAACTTTCTCGGTGTAATTGGATTGGTGGATGAAAATTCCATTCTTCAAATGCTCAATTTGAAGTCTGAGACAAAATTTGGTTCTCCCGAGATCTTTCATTTCAAATTCTTTCATAAGATATTTTGCAGTATTTTCAATCTCATCGGGAGTTCCAATAATATTTAAGTCATCAACATATACTGCAAGCGAATCCCGAATTGAATCGCTGAATGAAAACACATGGACTAATTGGATCATTCTTATATCCTTCTTTAAGAAGATATTCACTGAGATGATTATACCACTTTCGTCCAGATTGTTTTAGTCCATACAATGACTTTTTTAGTTTAATGGAAAACATTTCTCGAGGTTTCGAGCTATAATCTTCAGGCATTTTAAATCCACCGGGAACTTTCATATAAATGTCTGTATCGAGTGAACCGTATAAATATGCAGTCACTACATCCATTAGGCGCATTTGCAGCCTTTCAAAAACAGACATGCCAATAAGAAACCTTAATGTAGTTGCATCAACTACTGGAGAATAAGTTTCTTCATAATCAATTCTCGGCATTTGAGAAAACCCTTGGGCAACAAGTCGGGCTTTATACCTTACAATTTCATTTTTCTCATTGTGTTTACGCACAAATACCCATTTAAATCCCACTGGTTTTACGCCTTTTGGCGTAGGGACTATCGGTCCAAAATCATCACGTTTTTCAAGTGATTTTAATTCAGCCTGAATGGCTTCATTCCATTTTGGCCAATCGTGTCGTTTCCGACATTCTTCTATTGATGTTGGCTCATTGTCATTGTTTTCATTCATAACATTTGTGGCAACGGCATAGACAAATATCTCATTAATATCGATATCTTTTCGATTCCATTGTATTCCAGTAGAAACGTAATTTATTAAAATTTCATAATTATCAACGTTTCTATCATTATCTGGAATATCTTCCTCGTTTAAAGAAGTCGGATCATCGTTTGAGATGTTTGTTTTGTCAATATCATTTTCTATGATAATATTTTCAAATTGTTCATTTTCTTGTTCAGAAGGATGAACATCTTTGGCATCACAGATTAATTCCTGCCTTTTAGTTTTTCTTGGTTTTATATCTTTTGATCCAAGCGGCCTGCCACGCTTTTTGCGTATAAAAGAGTCATTTGCAAGAGATTTTTCAGAATTCTCTGCAGGGATTTCGATTTTGGCAGGAGCATTCATAGCAGGAATATGTGACTTTGTCACTTTCTTTGTATCTGTGAACGCATCAGGCAACTGATTTGCAACATTTTGTAAATGGATTATCTTTTGCACCTCTTGCTCACATATATTTGTTCTTGAGTCAAGATGTGATAATCCTGTTGCATTCCAAGTAATCTCTTTCGTACTTGGGTCTAGTTTAGTATTTTCTCCTCCTAAGGTTGGGAACACTGTCTCATTGAAATGACAGTCTGCAAACCGTGCGGTGAATAAGTCACCAGTCATCGGCTCGAGATATTTTATTATTAAAGGAGATTCAAATCCAACATAAATTCCCAACCTTCTTTGAGGACCAATTTTTGTACGATGAGGTGGAGCAATCGGAACATAAACAACACAACCAAATATTTTTATGTGTGCTAAGTTTGGCTCATGTCCAGTAACTAATTGCATTGGGGAATATTCATGATATGCAGTTGGTCTAAGCCGAATTAAATTCGCTGCATATAAAATAGCATGTCCCCAAGCTGATGAAGGTAAATTACACTTCATTAATAATGGTCTAGCGATTAATTGTAATCGTTTAATCAAAGATTCAGCAAGACCATTTTGTGTATGGACATGAGCAACAGGGTGCTCCACATCAATCCTAATTGACATACAATAATCGTTAAATATCTGGGATGTGAATTCTCCTGCATTGTCAAGTCGGATTCTCTTTATAGAATGATCCGGAAAATGAGCTCTTAAGCGTATAATTTGAGCAAGGAGTTTAGCAAAAGCTAAATTTTTAGTCGATAAAATACTGACATGTGACTAACGTATTGAAGCATCAATCAACACCATAAAATATCGAAATGGTCCACATGGTGGGGCTATCGGCCCACAAATATCTCCTTGAATCCTTTCTAAAAATGCAGGTGATTCAGTTGCAATTTTGTTTATAGAAGGCCTGATGATCATTTTGCCAAGAGAACAGGCCTTACAAGGAAAATCACTTGATAATGGAACCCTGATATTCTTTAATGGGTGTCCAAGTGAAGTCTTAATGATTTTATGCATCGTAGTACGTACTACGTTGTATGATCTGCTAATATTTCTATTTTAAATAATTATCATCATTATAAGTTATCCTCAGTATATTTGTATAAATAGCATTAGATTGTAAATATGGTGTACGCTATATACTTAGATACGAAGTATATACTCAAGATACAAAGTAAATAGCGATAGTATATTTCTACACTGTTGGGTTTTTATTGAAATGCTAAATAACAACAAATGATCAACAGTAAGTTCTGAGCCTTCTGACCATGCATGTAACGGTGCTTTTAGATATATTATTTTATTCTATTGTGTTTATTAAGTCATACCCGTGATCACTCAAAGACAAAAATGACTATTCAGATTGAATTACTAGCCTATGCATGTGCAAGCAATATAAGATTATAAGGTAATACTTCGTATAAGCAAATGTAACTCTATTACCACTTCGCTCTATTTTTCTTAGTATTATACCAACATTTAGAACAACAATGATCTTGATCTCTTCTTTCTATTTCTGCTTTCATTATCTATCTTTCTTTTTCTTGCCTCATATTACTACAGATGTATTCTTATTATGAAGTACTCGTATGAAGTATAATAATTTAATTCAACTTCTTAGAGCCGAGTTGCGATACCTACGTATTACAAGTGCAAAGATGTTTTCACTCTTTTCCTTTCTTTTACCAAGAATTATACAAATTAAGGATTGCTCTAAAGGTACGTATATTTTCTTTTAGTGTATATAATGGATGAGTTTAGTTTTAAACAAAACTGAACATATATTTCAGGTTTGAATACTAAAAGAAGATAATAAATATTAATGCTAATACCTGCAGGAGATGATGATTTCTTGAAGATTTTTAGCTGAATCATGCTGATAACGTATTGTGAAATGAAGAATAAGAAGAGCAAATTTAAGAGATCGATATATTAATAAAAGCTCTGAATATCTTCTTCTTAATCTCTGAATATTTTCTGAATGAATTTACAAAGAATTGAACTAACCCTATTTATACTAGCCAAACTTAAAGATGAATCATCTAGGAATGATTCTACACAATTTGTTGGCAGTATTAGATCTACCCACCTGTCTAACTATAATTACAAGGATATGAATTAGACGAGTAAGCTTATTACAAGGACCAGGAGTAGCTTGGTGTCCTAATGACAAGGATGAACAATTCACACTTGTTTTTCTCAGGAATTTACAACAAGTTTAAGTTTATTAGTATTTGTAGTAGTAATTTATATATAAAAAGTTTTAATAATTTCTATTTGGACATGTAGAGTATTTTAATCATTGCTTATTTACCAAAGTTGTATGAAAAGATATGTAAATGTGTTTATGAGTGAGTATATATATACTTTTCATGCATGTGTTTATAATAGAGTATGAAAAAGCTGAACCATTTTTGGACATGTAGAGTATTTTAATCATGTGTTTATTTACCAAAGTTGTATGAAAAAC